CATCAGCAAACAACAGGTCTCTGATACTAGTCAAACAAACTTTTGTGCGCGCTTGCAAACGGCAGAGATTGAACAGCTTTCCATACATTCGATATCGCAGGTGTATTCCACTCGGACCATCCCTGAAGGTGTCTGACAGCAATGCTGATAAATACATACTAAACAGTGTTGGTGCCAACACGCAACCCTGCTTGACGCCACCGGACACAGGAAACTCTATGGATTCTTCTCCATCTCTGAGCACTCTTGCCATCATACCTTCATGGAACTGACGAACTACAGCGACAAACTTCGTGGGACAACCGAACTTGTGCATTATGCGCCAAAGTCCTTCTCTACATACCGTGTCGAAAGCTTTCATCAGGTCCAGGAAAGTCATGTATAAGTCGCGGTGTTGCTCCTGGCATTTCTCTTGGATCTGCCGAGCAGTAAATATCATATCGGCAGTTCCACGTCCAGCACGAAAGCCACATTGACTTTCAGGGAGAAGACATACACACTACACCACTATATTAAGCCTAGTTTTGTTCTTTCGGTTTGCTCTTGTCCAAGGCTACTGGTGCAGGGTTGAATTTCTTGAAACCTGTTATAACTCAGTGAGAAGTGATAATTCGAATGACAGATTGGGCTCCCCATCCATTTCTAATATGTACTGATTACTTCTTTCAGTCTTCATGGGAGGATCAACTATATTCAGGGCTATTCCATGCAATGGAGAACCTACAACTCTTTGTCAGGGTGTTCTCTGGTGTAATCAGCTTTTTTCTGGTCAGAACACAAATAATACAGTGTTTGTACCATTTTATAATGTCTCCAAGTAAATGTGATCAGAAAAAAAATGCTTTGGTTCATTGGTATACAAATGTAGGAAACCACTATCAGCCTCCAGTCCATTTATTATAAAAAATGTCTGAAGTATCTCCTGTCTAAGAGTTCTGGGCATCACTAGCTGCATCACAGATCGAGAGTTATGGTTTAGTGGCTTATAATAAAACTACAACACACATTTCTGCCTTTGTAACTACCTGTACAAGTGCCACACATTATGTGTGTCTGTATCTGTTCCTCTATCTTTAACAACCGTGCTTCATTTTGCTGTACAGCAAATAGCTCCAAAGCTAGACCTGAGTCCTTCAGTTGTTCCTCCCAGTACTCTTGAAGTATAATTTATGGAATCTATCAACTTGTGGAGTTGTTACACACTGTAGGTTTGCAGTAACTACTGCTGCAATCCCGTTCACAGCTTAACAATGCCAAGGACCTCGATATTCAAAGAACATAACAGTCGGGACAATTCATATTTGTTTCTGTGTTATTGGCCTAACCAATGATGTGCAGAAAAGTCATACTCTTGTAATGTTGTTATTTAATGTGTGATAACTCCTCCAGATTTTGAAGTTCGTCAGCCATTTCAATGGTGCATGGTCAACGTGAATGATAAACTTTCTACCATACAAATCGGGAATATTATTGTTTAATAAATTTTGCAACTGGAAGAAGACTTTCTTTGTCATGTAGATCCAGCATTCAGGAACTGTTATTGTATGAAATTAAATATAGTTCTTCATTCTGCAACTTATAACAATGCTTCTCCAATTTCACTATCCATTAGTATCCAGAAGGAGTCTAACTTGTTTTGGTTATGCTAATATCAGAGCCTCAATTAAAGCACATTTTAATAACTAAAATGCTTTCAGTACACATCGGTTTTCTATACTGGCGGTGGGTACAGCACAGATAGCGCTATTGTGTAGCTTTGGCGCGTAATAACAAACAAATATAATAGAAATACTACTTTTAAAACATTAAATGTTTCCCAAGTCATGCCATTGCTTAGCTGATCAGTGATTTATCTTCTATCCTTAGTAATATTGTATACATCTTCCTGTAATATGTGTTCCAACAAGTTCCATATATATATACATATATATGTATATGCTTACAACCACAATAAAATTATAATTCATATCAAAGCCATTTTTCACGTAATCATAAAGTTTTTCTTCTTTTGTTTGATATTTCGTAATAAAAAAGACGTAGTTGAAAATTGATACTGTTGCGTCAGCGAGGTCACATGACTAGTATCACGCCACTTGTTTCTAGAAATATCCTGTTCCTTCATGAATGCCCTAGCATTTACTAGATATGTGTTAGTCTTGTGTATAAGACCGGTCACGAAGCGACGAGGAGAATGAGTAATTGAACTGCAGTCAG